TCCCTAGTCAGAAGATTTTATCAGGTGCTTGCTAAACACTTGCATGGAAATATGAATAATCGTTTAACTGAATAATATTCTTCCAAGTGTACGTAGAAAAGGGGTGTGTTTCAGCATCTCCTGGCTTAAATGAATACATAAATAGATCTGTTTTATTTATTTATTTATTTATTGAGATGGAGTCTCACTCTATCGCCCAGGTTGGAGTGCAGTGGCGCAATCATGGCTGACTGCAACCTCCGCCTCCTGGGTTCAAGTGATCCTCCTGCCTCAGCCTCCTGAGTAGCTGGGACTACAGGCACATGCCACCACATCTGGCTAATTTTTGTATTTTTAGTAGAGTTGGGGTTTCACCACATTGGCCAGGCTTGTCTTGAACTCCTTACCTCAAGTGATCCACCTGCCTTGGCCTCCCAGAAGGCTGGGATTAGTCATGAGCCACTGGGCCCGACCAGGTCTATTTCTTTTAATTTTCCTATGTTTTCTTTGTCATCCATATTCTAGTAACATGCAGGGTCAATGAAAAGCTGCTCGTCTTCTTGTGAACACGGAAGAGTGGGTCCTGTCTGCTGGCCTGGAGGTGTTGGGGTTCGCATTATTTTCCTTCTCAGCATTGCCTATGATTTGTTACTATTGTTAGGGATATAAAGTAACAGTAAAGAAAATTTGGAAGATGGATACAGTAAATCCCAACTATTTTCCCTTTTGAAAATTTCTGTCTAGTATTAGTTCTTAGACATTCTCATTTGTTTACATGGTAGCTCATTTCATATATGCGCAATGATAGACCCTGCGTTCCTTTACTGAACATTTCATAGTGGCCATTTTACCTTCTTTATGTAGGCTACTATATATATATATATATATATATAATTTTTAAAAATAGATAAGTTCTTGCTCTACCACCCAAGCAGGAGTAGGAGTGTAGTGGCATGATCACTGCTCACTGTGGCCTCATCCTCCCTAGCTCAAGCCATCCTCCTGCCTCAGCCTCATGAGTAGTTGAGACTACAATTGTACACCACTGAGCGTGGCTAATTTTTTAAATTTTTTTGTAGAGACGAGGTCTTGCTATGTTGTCCAGGCTGGTCTCCAACTTCTGGGCTCAAACAATCCTCCTGTATCAGCCTCCCAAAGTGCTGAGATTACAGGTGTAAGCCACCACACCTGGTCATATTTCAAATGGCTTCATTGTACCATAATTTAATTAATGCCTTATTGTTGAATATATAGCTTGTTTTCTTCCTTTCTTTCTTCCAACTTATTAACTTCAAATCCTGTCTTCTTCCTTTCTTCCTGTGCTAAATCCTACCTCTTCTTATTTATTTTGGCGTTTTTATACCAAGTTTCCAGAAGTGGAATTATTGTCTCAAGGCAAATAAAGATTTTTACTGTTCTTTATATAATATTGTTAAATTGTTTTCCAAAATATTTGTAGTAATTCACACTGCCAGCAATAGAAGATGAGAGTAGCAAATTCCACACCCTCTTCTAACAGTTTGAATTGCCAAAAAATCCTCACACTTTGATGCATATCTTTTATTTTTAGTGAGGTTCACAATTTTAAAAGTCTTTTATTTACTTATTATGCTTCTTTTGTTGAAATATTCATTGATCTACTAGAATCTCTATGTTTTTCTTACCAGCTTGTATGACTGTTTTAAATAGTAAAGAATTTGCTGTATTTATCATTTTTGCTATATTCAGTTTTCACAGCCTCTTGTATGACTTTCTACTTTGGTTAAGGAAGATTTTTTTTTTTTTTGAGATGTAAATGCTTTCAAAATTTCTTTTCCTCCTTCCTTCCTTCCTTCCTTCCTTCCTTCCTCTCTTTCTTTCTTCTTCTTTTTTTTTTTTTTTCCAGAGTCTAGCTTATTGCCCAGGCTGGAGTGCAGTGGTGCGATCTGTGTTCATTGCAACCTCCGCCTCCCAGGTTCAAGCAGTTCTCCTGCCTCAGCCTCCTGAGTAGCTGGGATTACAGGTACCTGCCACCATGCCCGGCTAATTTTTGTGTTTTCAGTAGAGACGTTGTTTCACCATGTTGGCCAGGCTGGTCTCAAACTCCTTACCTCAAGTGATCCACCCACCTTGACCTCCCAAAGTGCTGGGATTAAAAGGCGTGAACCAAGGCACCTGACCTCAACATCTCTTTTTTTTTTTCCTCACTCTGTCACCAGGCTGGAGTGCAACGGCACAATCTCGGCTCACTGCAACCTCCGCCTCCCAGGTTCAAGCAGATCTCCTGCCTCAGCCTCCCGAATGGCTGAGATTATAGGTGCATGCCACCACGCCCAGCTAATTTTTGTATTTTTAGTAGAGATGGGGTTTCACCACATTGGCCAGGCTGTTCTCAAACTCCTGACTTCATGATATGCCCACCTTGGCCTCCCAAAGTGCTAGGATTACAGGCGTGAGCCACCATGCCCAGCCCATTTCTTTAGCTAAATTTATTGACTTCTGGCATTGTGATTTCATCTTCTAAAGTTAATAAAGTAATCCAGCAATTAGATATTTGATAAATATTCAACTTTTTCTGTAAATTAAAATAATATTTAGTTTTTTTACTACATCATGTAGTGTATGATACAAGTATAAATAGATTTTTTACTCCAATTACTAACCACTAACCACTGTTCCTTTCTTTCCTGGTCATTTTATGCAGCCTCCCTTATGATATATTAAATTCTTATAAACGCAGAGCTATCTCAACCCAGTGCTACATATGCATTTAGTGTCCGCTTTGGAATATGCTCTCTTACAGGACAGTGCTGGCTTTCTTCTTCATCTTTTTGTTTTCTAGAATATTCTTTGATATTTAACATATTCCTTCTTTTAAATGAAATTTGAAATCACATCATCAACTTTAAAGCATCATGTTGGGATTTGGAGGTATTGCTTTAAACCTGAGAAATTATTTCTTGTGCTACCCGCGATAAAGTAACAACTGATGACAGGAATATTTTAGCAATGGATATTGTGAACCAAGCTGGGCTACATGAATTTTCGATCAGAACAGCCTGAGGCAGATATGAATGGAGAGGCCAATATACATCATAGCCAATGAGAGGATTGCAGATCCCTATCAGAGAGAAATGTCAAGAATCAGGTCCAAGGGGGTGAGTCAAGCCTTGAAAGGTACAAAAAATATTAAGACATTTAAAACCAAGGAGCAAGAATAGACCAGAAAACAGGTGCTACGTGACCATCGGTGCATAAGCAAACCCTTGGTTCTTCCTCCTGGAACTTTTCTACAATTCCATTGACTTTCCCTTCATCTTAGCAGTACTGTCCTGTGCCTGGTTATCATTTTAGTAAACTGGAAATAAGCTTTTCTGATCCATTGTAAACTGTCCTCATGAATGAAGTTCAAGCATCTCTGAGCTTTCTTCAGTCTTCAATGTGATCTCAGTGTTTGATGAATTCTGTAAAAATCTTCAGCCAATTGAGAGTGCCTCTCTCCTTGCAGCTGCCTCATTCTGTATTTTTTAATAGGTTGAAGAAACATTTGCTTTGTAATATTCTGTAATATTTTGTTTCAAAATGTGTACTCTCGGAATCAGCTGTAAATCATAATATATACCTTTAATAATTTTCCAACTTCAAAATTGCTTTTTTAAAACAACAAAAAAGACATGATGCTCTCTTAACTCTAAACACTGTTTTCTAAGACTAAAATATTTTCAACAAAAAAATTTCAGGTATATTCTATTTTCTTCAGTCAAGATCAAGATAGCAGAGAATAGCCAGATAAGTTCCCCATAAATCTGTGTTTACTCAAACACTGCTATGAGTTCAAACACGTTTTATTTATGAATGGTTTTTGAAATTCTCCAGAGCTTTTTATTTCTATTAGAAACTCTTTTTTTTTTTTTTTTTTTTTTTTTTGAGACGGAGTCTCGCTCTGTCGCCCGGGCTGGAGTGCAGTGGCCGGACCTCAGCTCACTGCAAGCTCCGCCTCCCGGGTTCCCGCCATTCTCCTGCCTCAGCCTCCCGAGTAGCTGGGACCACAGGCGCCTGCCACCTCGCCCGGCTAGTTTTTTTGTATTTTTAGTAGAGACGGGGTTTCACCGTGTTAGCCAGGATGGTCTCGATCTCCTGACCTCGTGATCCGCCCGTCTCGGCCTCCCAAAGTGCTGGGATTACAGGCTTGAGCCACCGCGCCCGGCCTAGAAACTCTTTTTACAAATGACATCTCTATGAGTAAATATTTAAAAGAACAAGTGTCATAAAGAACTGAATGTTGCATCCATTATCTGTACTCCAATGTTAGATCTCAAGACCAAGACTCTTTGAAACTTCAATGTTATCTGCAGAATTCCGGTTTAAAAGTGCTTTCATGTTCTTAATTTTTTATGAGTATTTTTAGTAGACATTATATTTTACCTATCTATCACATTCCTTTGGAGGAACTTCTTCCCCTAGTTTTAGCCATGAGATCCAATGGTAGCAGCCATCATTTATGTCATCCCACATTCTTGGCCACATCGCTGTTCAAGAGGAGAGACCTTGAATCAACAGAAGATACGTGGAATTCCAAGGCACTTGAAAAAGCCTCGTGTAACAGACACTCTTGGTTCTTTGTGCCACTCCGCTGGGATACCCTTTTCTGCATGCCTGTGCTCTTGGCCCTGTGCTTTGTGTCTAAGAGCTCACATCTGTGACTCTTTTCTGAGGTCTATCCTAGGCTACCGGAGATGCTTTGCCTTTATACGTTGCCTGCAAGCAAGTGCAAAGAGTCAGAAGCACTTGAAATTCATGCTCCCTGGGTGGCCTTTAGCCAATGCCTGACAGCTTTGGCAGTTTAAAGCCCAGGAAACTTGTCTGGTGTCTGGATAACTCAGATCATCATTTATACACTAGAACGACCTTGCAGGATAAAGCTAAGACTGGAATTTTCCTGAAATCGTACCCTTGCTTGGCTTCTTCCCCATTCCCTGTCCTATTCCCTGTACTTCCCCCAGCCCCCTATCTCCCATTTCCATTCTCTTAGAGCACTTTCATTATATTAGTTTGGTGCAGAAGTAATTGCCGGTTTTGTCACTACTTTTAATGACAAAAAACCCCAATTACTTTTGCATCAACCTAATACATCACACTCGCACACACAGCCCCATGGCAGGGTCTGCTTCTAGGGAATCTGACCTGAGCAGCATGGACTCAGGCTGGGCCAGTGAGTAAGTCTTTCCCTGAGAGGTTCATACTTGGAGCTGGGAGGTAGCAAGCTTATCGGGATGTGGGTCTGAAGCTACCGGTGGCTTGAGAGAATGAAGCTGACCCACAGAAGAAGCAGAAACAACCCTGATGCTATTGTAGCCTCTGCCTCCAGCTGCCTTTGAGGCTATCCCCACTCCTACCTTCTGAAGATGTGGTTGAGATAGTTAAGTTAGGTTCCTGTCATTTGCATCCAAGAAAACCATCACTAAAGGGGTCAAGACTAAAGAGTTCTCAAATCCTAAAGACCCTTTTCATGGAGAAAAGCACAGTTCTACATAACTTTATATGCAATCGCAGGGGTACACAGTCCCATTCCTGGATTCTTTATAGTTCAGTTCAACTGTATTAGTATCTTACATACACGTACGATTTTATGAGCATTAAAAACTTATGGGCTGCCCATGACTTCCTGACAACAGAGTTTGCCTTGCTAATCTCTTAGCCATTTTTGAGAAAAACAGTAACCAGGACTTCTGTTTTGGGTTTTTTGCCCAGTAAACACAGTCATCATCACAGAAATCACAACTGATCAAGTCAATACATAAGGAAGCTAAAAAAAAAGTATGTGCAAGCAGAGTACATATTCAAAATGGTGCAAATGGCCAAATAACCAGGCGTGATGGCTCACACCTGTAATCCCAGCACTTTGGGAGGCCGAGGCAGGCGGATCACTTGAGGTCAGGAGTTTGGGACCAGCCTGCCCAACATGGTGAAACCCTGTCTCTACTAAAAATACAAAATTTAGCTGGGTATGATGGCACACGCCTGTCATCCCAGCTATTCAGGAGGCTGAGGCAGGAGAATTGCTTGAACCCGGGAGATGGAGGTTGCAGTGAGCAGAGATGGTGCCACTGCACTCCAGCCTGGGGGACAGAGCAAAAAATCTAAAAACAACAACAACAACAACAACAAGCAAATATTCACATGAAGAGAAAATTTATGAAGACAAGGAGGCAGGAGACATGTATCAGTGGACCATTGGACTATCATCTCACATTCTTTTTTAAAATTATTTTTTGTAGAGACGGGGTCTCACTGTGTTTACCAGGCTGGTCATGATCTCCTGGCCTCAAACAAACCTCCCACCTCAGCCTCCCAGAATGCTGGGATTACAAGCATGAGCCACTGTGCCTGGCCTATCATCTCATACCGAGTGAGCAACATGGAAGTGTCTGTAGTACATCTTTGACTGGGAAAAAATATTTACACTATTTTAAGATCAATAGAACTATGACTTATATCCCACAATTCCCCTTGAGTTTATGCATTTTGTCATTTTTTCACGTGTCCAAGTGAAAAAAAACCAATTCTCTTAGCACAGTTGGGAGAGCTCCTGTCTTCTCCCTGCCCTGCCCCTTTCAGTACCCTGACCCCACCCCCCACACAGTACATTATGTCGGAAAGATTAAGTGGCTTAGCACCACCAGGCCCAAAATGACAGATTCATGTTCAGTGCCTACATTTCTTTTTTCCTTCCTTTCTATTTTTAGAGATGGGGTCTTGCTTTTTGCCCGGGCTGGAGTACAGTGGCACAATCATAGCTCACTACCACCTGGAACTCCTGCGCTCAAGCGGTCCTCCTGCTTTGGCCTCCCGAAGTGCTGGGATTACAGGCTTGAGCCGCTGCACCCGGCCCCATATTTCTTTTTTGAGTGCTAATTCACTACTCACATGCGCCTCATATTGTTTTCCTGAAACTTCTGAAGCTCCCCTTTTATCATCAAGAAACTCCCATGGTGCCAAGCATGGCAGCTCATACCTGTAATTCCAGCACTCTGGGAGGCTGAGGCAGGAGAATCTCTTGAGGGCAGGAGTTTGAGACCAGCCTGGGTAACATAGTAAGAGCCTGTCTCTACAAAAAATAAAAAAAAATGGCTGGGTGAGGCAGCACGTGCCTATCATCCCAGCTACTCCAGAGGCTGAGATTGGAGGATCGCTTGAGTCCAGGAGTTTGAGCCTGCAGTGAGCCATGATTGCACCACTGCACTCCAGCCTGGGCAACAGAGTAAGACCCTGTCTCAAAACAAAACAAAACAAAACCAACCATGGGTTTGGGCTTCAGACCAGCCTGAAGTTAAGCCTGCTCGCGGTGCTCTTGGGACGTTTGCCTTCATCTCGCTGCATCTAGAGCAAACAGGAAGGTGTTAGGAGAGGCAGGAAGGCAGGGTTCCATCAGCATCAGGCAGGAGGGGACAAAGGAGTTTTTCGTGCCTGGCAGAATCCTCACTCTAAGATGGGAGGAACATACAGTCACAGCTATATATCCCTTTGGGAGACTTTTTGGGAACTAGGAATATCTACCTCCATCTGACTGTGTTATTTTCTGCTTTATGAAAAGCAGAGATATGTGCTTTTCATGTAGCTTTATAAATGTAATCTTCTATCCTGTGACAGAAAAAGAAAAAGGGAGAAAGAAAGAAAGAAGGAAGGAAAGAAGAAAAGGAAGGAAGGAAGGGAGGGAGGGAGGAGGGAGGGAGGGGAACTTGACATTTGATAGCTGTGTTTGTGAGCATCTTTCTGGTCATCCTATCATCTTCTCATTTTGACAGGCACATGTCAAACTTCAGTGCTGCTTGGATCTCTTTCCCTTCACTGAGACTTGATTTTATCTGGTGACAGTTTTCCTTTTAACCAGTTATCAGGAGTAGGTGGCTTATATTCCCTTTCCCCTTTATACTTCACATCTTGAAACTTCATAGCCACACATGTTGCTACATGACGTATCACCACAAACTTAGCCACTTAAAACAACCCTCCTTTATGAGCTCACAGGGATGTGGTCCACAGGCTAGGAGGAGAGGGCTGGGTCCTTAGGGTCTCACAGGCGGAAATGGAGGCAGATGCTGGATGGAGTGCTTATCTGGACGTCCTGGGGAAGAAGAATCAGCTTTCAAGCTCCTTCAGGCTGTTGACAGAATTCAGATCCTGTGGTTGGTGAGGACAGAGGACCCCCTTCCTTACTGGCTGTCAGGTGGGAGTTTCTCAGCTCTAGGGGCTTCTCTCTGTTCCTTGCATGAGGACCCCTATATCCTCAAAGCCAGTAATAGGCGTGAATCCCCTCACGCTTTGAATTGCTCTGACTTCGTCTTCTGCTACTTTCTAGAGAAAATTCTCTGCTTTAAAGGGCTTGCCTGCTGGGCTAGGCCCACCAGTATGATCTCCATGCAGGGTGGCTGACTCGAGAGTTTACTGACAACTGCAAAACTCTTTCGTAGCTGTGCCGAGCTTAGTATTTGCATAAGTAGGGCACAGGACTCTGCGTGAAGTGGTCATCTTTAGAATTCTGCCCACCACAGCTACCAACCTGGAAGCACTTTAGTCCCCTCTGAGGGTCCCGGATGAGTGTGGAGGTCTCCATGTTCCAGAGCTAGTAAGAGTATGTTCTTCCAGGGTGGCTTCCGCTTCTGGTGTTACTTGCTGCTTACGGCTTGGATTTTGTCTGCTAGGCCTCTCTGTCACCTTATTCTTTGTCTTCTTTGGGTGGGAGGTTTAGAGATTCCTCCTACATTTTTGTGAGGCTAAAAATTCTTTTTAAAAGTATGTTTGTTGAAATGTATACAGGAGCTAGTTATATTGGACTAGGAGGGCATTTTGGAGTATGTAATCCTGTATAATAATAGATTCTGGCCGGGCGCGGTGGCTCAAGCCTGTAATCCCAGCATTTTGGGAGGCCGAGGCGGGTGGATCACGAGGTCAGGAGATCGAGACCATCCTGGCTAACATGGTGAAACCCCGTCTCTACTAAAAATACAAAAAACTAGCCAGCGTGGTGGCGGGCGCCTGTAGTTCCAGCTACTCCGGAGGCTGAGGCGGGAGAATGGCGTGAACCCGGGAGGCGGAGCTTGCAGTGAGCCGAGATCGCGCCACTGCACTCCAGCCTGTACGACAGAGCAAGACTCCGTCTCAAAAAAAAAAAAAAAAAAAAAAAAAAAAATAGATTCAATGTCCACAGATTCTTTATTAATCAAATGAATCTCTCTCTGCGTGTGTGTGTGTGTGTGTGTGTGTGTGTGTGTGTGTGTTTATTTACATGGCATGGCTACTGAACAATCAGAATGGACACCAACTATGAGTGACCCATGCAGCTGAATAACAGCCCTGCTCTGCTCCCGTGTCTAGGAGGCACTGTATTAAGTGCTATGGGAGACAGCAAGATGAATACAAAAAAAAAAGATCTGACATAAAAATCTTGTGAGAGGCTAGACATGGTGGCTCATTCCTATAATCCCAGCACTTTGGGAGGCTGAGGTAGGAGGATCACTTGATGCCAGGAGTTTCAGGCTGCAGTGAGCCCTGATCACACCACTGCACTCTAGCCTGGATGACAGAGTGAGACCCTGTCTCAAAAATAAATAAATAAATAAATAAAAAATCTTGTGAGGAAGATGAAGTATGTGTATAAAGGGTAAAGAGAGATGAAAATACTCATAAATTGCTCTTTGAGGTGAGAGGGGAGAATGATTATTTCTAGCTCAGGAGTCCAGAAGATTCCATGGGCCTCCTGCTCATGAGGAGAAGCCTGCAGACTAGGCACTCAGGACTTACACATCTCAGCTAGGGAAAAGCTGTTTCTCAAGATTTCTCTAGAATATGCACACGAATGTACTGTATAATATAAAAGGCACTTTGATGTCCAATGCAGGGGTAACTCTATTTTCTGAGTTAGACCTAATTTTGAATATTTAAAAAATAAACCATGACATGATGATGTTACCAATTTCATGACATCAAGAGACTCAGAGACTAGCGAACAGATTATCTGTTTCTATTTCATTCTCTATCCAAAGTAACATTATAGAATGTTCAGATGTTATCTTACTGGCCTTCCATCTGCTCACAAGATTTCCTTGTTTCAGGTTTCTCGTCTTTTGATGAGCAATCTTGAAACTGGATTCTGTTTCAACAACTGCACATATGCTTTAAAGGGGAAGATGTGCTGACCCTCCTGGTGGCACCTTTCAGGGTGCAGAGGATTGCTGTGGTGCTTGCTTTGATGGATTATTTGCAAAAATGGCTGCAATTATTCAGCTCCCTCTGCAGTGGTGGAGTCTGTGTCCGCTCCGCTTGACTCTCAGCTGATCCTGTGGCCTGCTTAGACCAAGAGACTGCAAAAGAAGTGACTGTCTGTGCTGAGCCCTCATCTCTAGAGACAATGCACGCTTCCACCTGCCCCTTTCAAACTCTGCTGAGCCGCCTTGCGAACAGCCCAGGCTCCTCATCCAGCCCAATCCAGAGGCAGAGCAGATAGCAATTGTTTGAGGGAAGGTATCTGAGGTCAGCAGAACTGGAGATTCACCAGAAGGAATTCATGGCTGTTATTTTAAGACACTAAGTTTTGGGTTGCTTTGCTAATATGATCATAGTTCCATTTCTCTTTGGAGGCAGGTCAAATGGTTAAGTCCCACCTTGTTCTTAGAAGCAACATTAAACAGTAGTCTGGAGCAAAGGTTTCTCACAGAAACTTCACAAGCATGACAGACTCCATATGTTTCAATAACAGGGAAAGTATCTTTCTGTGAAAGGCACACTCAGATTTTGTGTAATTTACTGAAGAACTCTAGCTAAAAGCCACAGTATTTTATTCCCATCTTTTTTCTGAGAGTGGAAAAAACCCATTAAATGTGTGATACATTTTAGGGGCTTCAGACTTAAAGGAGAATTTAATTGAGGGTCTTCAGGACCTCTGACTTTTCAAAATGCTCTAGTGGTGCTATTCACACCAAAATTGGTCAAATTTTGGTGGTCGTGTCTGAAACATTTGGATAACAAAAAAGTCTTTTTATGTTAAAAATTATTTCCCAGGAGGCGGAGCTTGCAGTGAGCCAAGATCGCGCCACTGCACTCCAGCCTGGGCGACAGAGCTAGACTCCGTCTCAAAAAAAAAAAACCAAAAAAAAAAAACCCCCAAAAAATTATTTTACTTGATTTCTTTTCTTAAGTAATATTTGCAGCATACTTTATCTTTTACAGAACATTTAAACCTTATAAATTTAAGATGTAGGTATCACCCCCCAAGCCCTCCCCCACAAAACACATATGATACGTGAACAAAACTGAGGCTCAGAGAGATGAAGTCACTTCTCCTAATGGAAGAGGTAGGGCATGTTCTTATTACCATCTGACACCAAAACTCATCCTTTTCCCACATGTTAACAAATGATCAGTGGTTTGGCATCGGATAGTGTAGTTCCTTTAAGGCCTTCAAAATGTTAACCATTTCTCTTCTTGCACAACATCTTTTTTTTTTTTTTTTTGAGACGGAGTTTCACTCTTGTTGCCTAGGCTGGAGTGTGGTGGTGCGATCTCAGCTCACTGCAACCTCCACTACACTGGTTCAAGTGATTCTCCTGCCTCAGCCTCCTGAGTAGCTGGGATTATAGGCACGCACCATCACACCTGACTAATTTTGCATTTTCAGTAGAGATGGGGTTTCACCATGTTGTCCAGGCTAGTCTCGAACTCCTGACCTCAGGTGATCCGCCTGCCTTGGCCTCCCAAAGTGCTGGGATTACAGGCATGAGCCATCACACCTGTCTAACATCTGTCTTTAATTTGGAAATATGGAGTATAATTTGGAAAATACGGAGTAAAGAAATCATTAACTTATAACTACAAGCCATTTAATTTTTTAAAAAGATCGAGTCCAGTTGCTCACACCTGTAATCACAGCACTTTGGGAGGCGGAGGCAGATGGATCACTTAAGACCAGGAGTTCGAGATCAGCCTGGCCAACATGGCGAAACCCTGTCTCTCCAAAAAATACAAAAATTAGCCCAGTGTGGTGGTGCGTGCCGGCAGTCCCAGCTATTCAGGAAGCTGAGGTAGGAGGACAGCTTGAGCTTGGGAGGCAGAGGTTGCAGTGAGCCATGATAGTGCCACTATGCTCCAGCCTGGTCAACAGAGCCAGCCCATGTCTCCAAAAAAAAAAAAAAAAAAAAACACAAACACACACGCACACACACACACACACAAAAACCCACAAAAAATCCCATAACATCTCTCTAGTCTTACTTGTATGCTCAGCTTTCAAATGTTTATAACGTACCACTAACCTTACCACTGCATGGCATTCACCCTTCCTGTCAACATTTTATTATGAATATTTTAGAAGTCCAGAAAAGTCAAAAGATTGTTCTTTTTTTTGACAGAGTCTTGCTCTGTCACCCAGGCTGGAGTGCAGTGGTGAGATCCTGGCTCAATTGCAACCTCCACCCCCCAGGTTCAAGTGATTCTCCTGCCTCAGCCTCCGGAGTAGCTGGGGCTACAGGTGCACACCACCACACCCGGCTAATTTTTATATTTTCAGCAGAGACGGGGTTTTGCCATTGTTGGCCAGGCTGGTCTTGAACTCCTGACCTCAAGTGATCTGCCCGCCTCGGCATTTCAAAGTGCTGGGATTACAAGCATGAGCCACCACTCCCAGTCAAAAGATTTTTAAAGAAAACACCCATACACTTAGGCCTAGATCTGCAATTGACATCTTCCACTACTTGCTGTAGCATAGCATCCATCCATCTAGCCATCCCTATCCACCAACCTATCTGTATTCACCCTTAATTGGATAGGTAGGTAGCCCAGGACAAAAGACTGTTAAGAATATTGCTTTGTGAGCAAAGGTTTGTCACTTCACCTTGGCACCAGGTTCTGAAGACAAAACCACCAATGATCTGTAAGTCAACTTCAAAGGAAGGACACCAATAAAAGTGCCAACTGCAATCAGTTTCAAAATGACTTACATAGTCTGAATGGTGGCATTGCCTGCCTGCTCATAGGAGGGGTTGGCAAGAATGCAACTCTTCCCTCCTCCCTGCTGGCCCAGAGAGTGTTCCTTCATTGAAGCTCTAATTCTGAGTCATATTTTGGGTCTGTCTTTATTTTCTTTCTTTCTTTCTTTCTTTTTAAACACCTGGGACTTCCCTCTCTATAGTGATACAAACAAAGATAAAAGATAAGGAAAGGAAATCATGGACTAGCGGGCTGCAGAAGTGTAGAAGATTATCCCACGGCTCTGCCAAAGGGATTAGATATCTGGGATAGAGGGTGAAATCCTCTGAGTAGAGAAAACTAAAAACCACATATAGTGATGGAGAGAAGAGGTAAGGCAACTCCAGAAGAATGATTCAGCTATTATAGAAGTGAGGAGGAGGAGCAGTCAGCATGTGCTACAGAGCTGGAGTTCTGGCGGAGATCTGGAAGTGGGGCCCTGGAAATACTCCATGACTGTTTTCAACTAGAATAGGGCCCACATAGCCTTATAATTGATTTTATGTCCCAAGCACGTGCTACTTCATGTCCCAGATTACTCTCTTAAATAAGAATTGAACCAAAGGGACCCCATAATCAGTATTATAAATAGATTTGAGACTTGTGACTTAGGGAGCTCCACAAATTTCAATATATACTGGTTGTTTTTGTAGATGCGGTGGGGTGAGCTCTCTGGCTGCCTGATTATGGTTGCTGGGAGCTTCTCCAGTGAGTGTAGTCCTGCAACTCCTCCTCCCACTGCTAAAACCACCACCACCCTGCTTGGAGATAAGAAGATGTTTAAAAAATGTTAATACCTACCAAGAGAACATTCAGAGGAAAACAACTAGAGGAATGGGAAGAGGATGGAAGGAGGGAATTGTGGAGAAACTTAGTCAATTGTCTTGCAGTAGTCAGTCAGGAAAAATTCTGCTCCACCAAAATCTGTTATTGATGTAGTACTTTATTCATGGATTTCCCTGTGGACACTATTACTGGGACTTTAGCTTGAAAAAAAAAAAAAAAAAAAAAAAAAGAAGGCCTCTGGTACTAGTTTGTAAAAAAAAGAAAAAAGAAAAAAAAATTTGGCTGGGTGCGGTGGCTCATGCCTGTAATCCCAGCACTTTGGGAGGGCGAGGTGGGCGGATCACCTGAGGTCAGGAGTTCAAGACCAGCCTGGCCAGCATGGTGAAACCCCATCTCTACTAAAAATAAAAAATTAGGTGGGTGTGTTGGCATGTGCCTGTAGTCCCAGCTACTCGGGAGGTTGAGGCAGGAGAATCACTTGAACCTGAGAGGCAGAGGTTGCAGTGAGCCAAGATCACGCCACTGCACTCCAGACTGGGCAACAGAGTGAGACTCTGTCTCAAGAAAAAAAAAAAAAATTCAAAAATTAAGCCCAGATCAAAAACAATCCTGTCACCCTATTGGTTATGAAGATAATATGAGGCTGTAACCATTTTGAGAGACAGAGGGTGCTCTTAGTGGGCATGTAGACCTGTGTGGGCAGAGGCAACAGCAACTGAGCCATGGAAATGAAGACTAAAAGGGAAATTGTGCCATCAGAATCACCGCAGCATCCCAGCTAACCAACCTACTAGCTCAAGGCCTGAGTATTGTTGCTGCCGAAACCCTTTTTGTTTCTCCCACACTTCTCTTTGTGTCCTTACAGAAAGGCCCCGTTAGTTGAGACCACCTGAGTCTGAATGTGTCTCGGGTCTTTGCAATCTTAAGTAGCTCAAATAACTGGAAGTGGAGACCTCTAATTCTAAGGTGGGCTAGTACTCTGGACACGGTGTGTGTGTGAGGGGGGCAAAGGAAAGAGCTATATAATCTTCACTCACACCTCCACAGCCTTCCTCCTGGGAATTATGAGGACTGTAGCTATATTAGAGGCAATCTAATTTCATAGTTGATTAAATAGGCCTATGTTTATAGCCAGTGGCAATAAGAACAAAGTAGGAACCTAAATCTGACTCCTGATGAAGCTCACTTTTTACTCTTCTTTTTATCTATCAAGCAGTGCACAAGCTCTCTCTCTCTCTCTCTTCCTGCCCCCACACAACTCATCAATCTTTCCAAGTGAGCATTCTCTCCCTGTTTTCCAGCTGACCTAGTGATGACAGACCTTGGCAAAATGCTATTTAAAAGAGGGATTTTCAGTAGGCTAGGAAGCCCTGGGCTCAGTGATTTCTATGGGCCACTACAGTATTCCATGCTTCCCTTTTGTAGGATTCATACCCACTCTTGAGGTCATGTATTTCTCTCTTGAGTGTATGCTCCATGAGGACAGATACTGTTTGTCTTGTTCACTGCTATATCCCAGCATCTAACACAGACGAAGTACCAGCATAGAATCTGCCAGAATTTCATTATCTGTTCAACAAACACATACAAAGGACTTACTATAAGCTAGACACTGGGCCCATGGAAGATGGTAATGGTACAGTGGTTCTCAAACTGTGGGTCTTGGACCAATGGTATCAACGTCACCTGGGAATTTGTTAGAATTACAAATGCTCAGGCCTCATCCCAGACCAACAGAATCAGAAACTGAGGCGTTGGCACCAAAAATCTGTGTTTTCACAAGCCCACCAGCTGATTGGATGCATGCTGACGTTTGAGAACCACTATGCAGGATTGCCCCAATTATTTATTACAATTGTCCACATTCTCTCCTCCAGTTGGAAGGAGTCTAGAGCACCCAGCACATGGGTATTGCCAAAAGCTCTTAGTTCCATAGTTCTTAAG